TTTTTTTTTTTTTTTTTTTTTTTTTTTTTTTTTTTTTTTTTTTTTTTTTTTTTTTTTTTTTTTTTTTTTTTTTTTTTTTTTTTTATACTTTGGACCCTTTGGGGTAAGTTCGTACGAACTTGTTTCTGGAAAAAGGAGTCAGGTTAGTTAATAATTAGAGATTAATTCGGATTGCACTGCGAATAGTGTGAAAGGGTAAAGAAAATGAAAAGAAAAAAAGAAAAGTTCAAAAAAACTCCTGGACAGACAGATTGGACAGATTGTCAATTTCTTACTGACTCAGTTAAAAAACCACGGCCCTGAATTCATGCAATCGTTTTTTTTGTTTTTTTTTTTTGTTTTTTTTGTTTTGCAGGTCCATGGAATTTGTCGACGGTGCCATATGGTTAACATCGATCAGGCGACCGGAAAAATGGGCGGAAGCGAACCATTGCTGACACTGGCTACATATCGAAGACAACAGGTCTGTTAAGAATCTTCTGTGAAAGTTTCAAGTTAGTAGTTTTATTGCACTTTTAGGGCCTCGCCACACCACTCTCGAAATGTGAAAAAGACAAAATTGAGTCGCTTGCATCCGGCCATGTTGTAGCTGGAAGTTCATTCTCGTTTTGCACATTTCGAGAGTGGTGTGGCGATGCCCTTATTGCACTTCTTTTCTCGAATGGTGTGGTTAACATATTTGTTGCGTCCGAAACTTCATATCGCATTCATTGTTTCGGTGGCATTTCGACACTTCTGTGCAAGTTGTGTGAAAGTTCTGCAACATCTTTGATGAGCAGCTGTACATGGCAGTAGAACGCACTATAGATGCACAAGGTGCGTTGGGAATCGGCGATGCCATGTATTGGAAATCGACGGTGCCATGTATTGGAATCGACGGTACCATGTATTGGAATCGACGGTACCATGTATTGGACCTGTGGTATAGCGATTTTTAGTGCATGCTTTGTGTACCAAGTTAAAAGTTCAGCCCCAGTCCCAAATGGTCCCATGTACCACCAGCACCATCATGCGCCCAACATCTGTAGCAGAATGGTTGGCGGCAGTCCCAAATGGTACCATGGACCTGAAAATTGCTTACGGTGGTGGTCGGCCGTCCTCCCAAATGGTCCCAAATGGGACGAAACGGGTATCAATCGATACCAAAATGGTTGTGGCCTCTTTTCTGCAAACCATATCCAGTCACAGAAAACCAAAAACGTTTTTATGAGTTTGACTGAAAATCAAAGACGTCTGTCTGATGGGTATGTGGGGATATAAGGGGGGTCCGAAGGGTCCGAGGGATCTGAGAGGTATAAGGTGTATATGATGGCATGTTCAGATGTGCTGTCAAAAGTCGTAAGGCCCACCCGTGGCTCCGCAGGCTGCTGACATTTGTGACCAAGGAAAATGGGTTAGAGTCTTTGCGGGTCGACGGATAGATATGCGGTGAAGTGATGGAAAAGGGAGAAAGGGCAAGAAATGGGGGCGGCGGGGGGGGGGAAGGGCGGCTATGACGGACTGTTTTGTCGGAGTTTTGGCAACTCATCATGAGGCTGAACCATCGTTCAGGACTCTGCAGAGTTCTTAGCTGACCCGTTGAGTTCGTGTCAAACGGGAACCACCGATTTAACCAATGTTTTTATTTCTTTCCTCTTTCTCCTTTTTTTTAATATATTAAACCACTAGTACCTTTGGCGTCCGGTTTCGACAAGTCCTGGCCAGTACCCGAACTTTCAGGAGGCCGAGACCGACGCAGCGGCCATCGTTTCGTTTCGGCCTCCTGAAAGGTTTCGAACCGACAAAGGTACTGGTGGTTTAAAGCGCGTCCTTTTTTTTATATTTATTAAAGGGCGACGCCCTTGACATATCATGATTGAGCTGACTAGCCGCTGTCGGTAATTAAGAATTATTTTGTTTTGTTCATTAGATCGCAGCTGGATTCGAACTTGGGTCTGTATTTCGAGAATTTTCGACAGTTCATCGGGTGTACCAAATGAGCTAGGCCCGTTTGTTGCACCTTAACCAATGTTCATGTACACTAGTAATCCACCTTTTTTTTTTTTTTTTTTTTTAAAACAGGAAAGTAGTAATCCACCTTACCAAGTTAACCTTGGTTGCGTTTAGGCGATGAGCCCGCCTCATTTGATAGCCTGAGCAGTGGAGGTTCACACCCCATCATATGCCACCAAAAACCCTACCGATCATCAAAGAAATATATATACTCTATAATAGTCTATATATAGGCTTCAGCATCGTGACAAGTCGGTGAAACTCGTAAAAAAACAGTCCGTCACAACCGCCCGTTTCTTGTTCTTTCACCATCTCTGCGTATGGCTCCCGGGACGGTTCTGAATGACTAAACTCCAGCGAAACAGTCCGTCACAGCCCCTCGTTTGTTGTCCTCTCCTCCCTCTCTCTCTGCCTACTACAGTAAACCGGGCAGAGTCATTTATATATATATATATATATTTGACGATATATATATATATATATATCGTCAAATATATATATATATATAAATGACTCTGCCCGGTTTTTATATATATACGATATATATATATATATATATATATATATATAT